TCGTTCTTTTCGTTTTCATTGAAAAGTCACTATTTTCAAAGACTACTTTTTCATTTCTATTTTTTGTAGTATTGTTTTAAGAGTAATTATAGTTGAGCTAATTTTAAGTTACTATTAATAATGTTAATTTTGTGTTAATTTTAATTTTATGTTTTTTTTTAATTATTTGTGTTAATTTTACATAATTATTATTCGTGTTTATTATACGTGTAACGGATATTCTACATGAGTTTTGTTTCATGTATTTTCGTGTGCAATGACCAGTTGACCATTCGTTTTCCATATTCATTTATCAAGAAAGGGGAAAAATCCTTTATATAATGTCACATTTTATTAACTCATTGTAACACTTGTTAACATACGTTGTAGCTCTTGTTGTATATATCAATCTTTAAAAATAATTAAATATTTAACTTTAATTTTAATAATAAAAATTATAGTTATTAAATATTCATTAGACAATTAAATACCATGAGAAATAGATCTATCCAGAAGATATATCCTGATAACAGGTCTCGCTCAGCAAGTGAAACTGGACCTGTTCTGCAACATGTTTACCTCATGTGGAAAAAAAATTCCAATATCCCGTGGAAATAAAGCAATTAATTTTCTAATTTAAAAAGCTTTAACAGATGGGGAGAACAAAACTATAACCAACAACCGATCCACAAGCAAAATTAAATAATTAAATGAAAATTTAAACTCTGACAATTAAAAATACCAAAAAATATAAAAGATACATCCTGAAATAGCACTTTGGCATTTTCTTTTAAAATAATAAACAAAATTTAGAACATTTTTAGAATAGGCTTCATAGCCGAACATAAATAGAATTAAACTGTTTAAGTAACTTCCAAAAATATCGAAACTTTCACTCCATCCCCCCTTTATTCGCGTTAAAAAAAAAACGCTCAAGTTAACAGCCTGTTCTATTTCGAACATTTTTCTTTTGAAGAACAGGTAAAGAAGGGCCCTTTCAGAATACGTAAAGCCCCCCTTTCCCACTTCTAAACTACGTAATTTATTTGCCGGAAAAATGATCCACACCTCATACCCGAACTTTACTTCATCAATCACAGTTATCCCTGAGGAAATCCCTGGTATTTTCTAACAGGAAACATCCGGCAAATCGCATGAATCATCCTTTTCTGTCATCCGCCGTACTCCGTGGCGAAAAATAGTCCCTACCGAAAAAAGATACAATGTTATTGAGGAATTGGGGGTAGAAAAAAAAATTGAAAAGTATATGATTTTTTTTTTCTTCTTCCTCAAACACAAGGTGGTAAGATTTTTTTTCACTTTCTTGGCGCTTTCGAAAAGAGAGTTCTGGAACATGTTACTTCTCTGGAAAGGTTAAGTTCGAGGATCAGAGAGCAATTGAATGGTTTAGTTGTAGCTTTTAGAAATAAGATGATTAGTTGTAACACGAAATTGATCAATAAAACAGCGAGAAACTTTTCCTTTTCAAGTGAGTACACGGAACTGGAATTCAAGAAAGAAAATAAGACTTACAGTTTAGAAGTTTTAATGGTTTTATGAACAAAAAGCCTCTCCATCTACGCATTTGACAGTGCTATTTAGGCTCATAAAGTATAGTTTCCTGTGTATATTTTTAAGCTGCATCTAATGAGACAAAATATAGTAATATAGAGAACTAAAAGTTCAAAAGTGTTTTTATGTTTAAAAAAAATAATTGCTTTTTTTCAATCTCTCTCTCTCTACAGGATAAATAAATCAGACTAAATTGCAAATTGCTTCCATTACATGAAAACATTTTTTACTTCTTAACTATTGTTCTTATTGACTAGGATTCGATTAAACGTGTAAAAAACAAGGAGGAAACAACGCCTCTGCACGCCACTGAATATAATCATTTTATTTTATAACCGTCATTGAACAGACTGACGGTAAGGGGAGTCTAACCCATGATCCGTCTACCACTAAGGATAGTTTATGTCTGCACTGTGGTCGGTGTGAGACGGGTGCGGAATTCGAATCTAATAGTCATCGCTGGTTTCTAACCCGGGTCAACTCATAGGAGACTAGCGCTTTGTAACTTGAGCCACGGTACTACTAATTATTATTATTAATGCCATGCAATTAAGAAGAAAAACCACGTCAGTGATACACGATAGATTTCGGGGAAAGTCGCTTGGAATCTTTTTTATTTTTATTTTATAACCGTCGTTGAACAGCCGATCCATTTTATGGGTTTACGACTACTAATGTTCAACTCCATAGCCTTATAATTTTGAACCCAATCCAGAAAACAAGGGAACTCCTGGATCAAGTATTGGGAGAAATTTTGCTTTCGCGGAGGACTTTATGATGGAACGAACCCAAATTTGCGTTACATGGAGAGGAAGACCACGAGAACCCTTCCACGTATAGCCTGACGGCAAGTGGACTCTAACCCATGATCTGTCTACCACTGAGGGTATTTCACGTCAGCACTGTGGTCGATGCAAGCCGGATGCGGATATCGTATCGCCGGGATCGAAACACGGTTCACCTCATTGGCAGGCGAACGCTCTATCCCCTGAGCCATCGCGGCTCGCTTGGAATCTATTTCCTAATTTCATAAAACTGATTTTAAAAAACTAATTTTTTGTAAAAAATTTTTTTTTCAATTTTTGTAGTTTATTTTAACAATAATGACAAATGTATAAAAAATCTCAATATAGAATTTTTTGTCGCTTACGTTGATTTTTCTATTGCATGTTAGATTGAATATGAATACATGAAATATGAATACAGAGTAGTTGCGGAGACATTTGCCACAAAAGCAGAGATATATTCATCACATTTCGTTTCGTGCTAAACCGAAGTTTGAGTTGAGAATCGGACTTTGTCGGCATGCATACTCCTCAGACAGTAGACAAAACCTTAGATTTTAAATAGCCAGCAACAAAATAAAAAACGATAATAACAGTAGTAACTTTTTATCATCTCTTCAAGGAAGAATTGGAATATAAAATGCCTGATAAGCATACATTATTTAAGAGTCGTAATATCTTGACTTATAATTAATCGATAAAAAATGGAATCTTGCAAAATGTACGCTAACGTTCAACGAATATTCAAAGAAGTCCTTTTCAAGGTCAACGTGGGCTACCATTTAACAAGCCATTCATTTACGTAGGAAAAAATGGTTGATTGTTTTTTATAATCTTGATCATTGACATAACCTTGCCTTTTGGGTGGTGAAAGGCCTAACCTATGAAGATAGGTACAATCGTCAATAGAGAATGATGATGGATTCTTCTAATTGCAAAGTCTAAAGGAAATGGTAGTTTCACGATTCTCATGGACATTACACCTCACTTTATTTTATGATATTTTTGCTTTTGCATCTTTACCAAAAAGAGGACTTATTTCTGTAATGCGTTACAGAGCCATCGCTAGACTATATGAGGCATTTCAATAGTTAAGCTGTCTCTTATGTAGCACCATAAACTCGGGTATTTCCTTATCTGTTGGCAATACTATAACTATTATTAACAATGAAAGTACCGTACAAAAATAGTTAGACATTAAGTATTTATTTGCATTTATTTCGTTAGATTGCCTTTAGTAATAATTTAAGTAGTGCTGAGTAATTATTTTTACGTTAACACGTTGAATGACACGATAATTTTACATGGCTTGCCCGTCTGGCCAAAATGATTTTTGTGTGTTCTATAATGCATTAATTTCTTCAAATAATTTTAGAAACGATAATTATATAAAAAAATTAAACGCATTAATTAAAAGCATAATTATATAAAAAAATAAAAATTTACTCGAATTATGTGTTTCTAACAATCTTGGCTTCGTCGGTCTCCTGTGACCCTCGTGGAGCTACGAACAAACTCGTTGCCGATCACCGGTGACCCCCATGGTATTTAAGGTGTTAAGTATTTCTTTTTTTTTTTTAGATTCATTTTGTATTTTTATAAAAACTTAGCTACGAAGTATTTATTCAAATTTATTTTTGATGCTTTCTAAAATGGTTGTACGAATTTAAAACACAAACAGTGCTATGGTGCTATACTCTGTCATATAAATTATTGGTGACGGGGTTAGCTTTTTTCGAGCAATAACATAAATATATTATACGATAATCGAGTTAAGACTCGAGGAGTGCGTGAGGAAGTAGTACAGCACGTAATGGAGTATCGGTTTGAGTTTTATATTATCTCACGATGCAAATAATTTTAATATTTCTGCTGAAATATCCCGAACTCTTACTTAGTGGTTTTTGTGATTTCTTGTCTGTCTGACAGAACTAAAAGTATATTACTAAAATTCAATACATAAAGAACTTTGACAATATCGCACGGAACTTTGATCAAATATAAATGAGACTTATTTTAATTACTAAATATTAAAATATTACTTTCAAAAAATACAAAAATGTTATTTTTCCACATAATTTCCGTGAACTTCTACACACTTTTTCAAAACTTTTTGAATCCTGGTGGCGTAGAAAGATTTGCCATGTAGTGAACCATTTGCGCACTAAGTCTTCTACCACATTATTGGATGAAAATTCATTTTCCTCCCCCAAGGCTTGTTTAAGGGGTCCAAACAAATGGTAGTCAGAAGGGGCCAAATTCTGGAGGATGCTCAACTGCTTTCCAGAGTAATGCCTTTAACTTTTGTTGTGTTATTGCGGCTTTATGGAATATCGCAGTGTCCCGTATAAAGAGCACTTTGCGGATCGTGGCACGTCGATCCGCAAACGTACGTTTCTAAACAAAGTTTTCAACTTTCTCACTCTTTCATTCTTTCACCTTTTTCTCAGAATTAATAACTTTCAATCCATCACTTATTTTGGAGATAAGCTTTGAAAGTAGCAATAAATAAAATTATATTTTCGTGTACTCGAGATGTAATTAAAAATTTGAACTTAGGGTCATGACTGATGCAAATAATATATTGCGTGGTGCAAATAATCTCTCTGAGTATAAGATAATTCCTTATAGATAGAAAACACAAGGTCTAGAAATAACACTTACAGTCGTTCCATATTTACAAGGTCTTGAAAAGCTCCTTTTTCTATTAAGTGAATCTGATTTTCCATTAGCTGCCTGAAAATAAAAAGAAGAAGAAAATTAAGGATTGTTACATAAATTAGTTTTGTCCACCAGTCTGTGAAAAAAAGTTATTGAGTTATTATTAACAAGTTGAATGCCACGCTAATTTTACATGGCTTGCCCGTCCGGCAAAACGGTAAATAGCTACAAACTGAATTTGCAAATATTAGACAGATTTTGCCAGTTTCTTAAAAGGTTTAGCATGACAAATCTAAAAACGTGGTGAATTATATAAGCCTACGAATTGTTTAGAAATAGTGGGGGATAAAAATCTACTAAATTGGATTTATTAAACCAAGAATCACAATAAATAAACTACTACTTGAAAATATTTATTCGCTGTCCGGAGCAAGTTGGCATCTCTGTGTATATAAATAAAACTATTTTTGTGTATTCTATATTGCATTAATTTCTTCAAACCATTTTAATAACGATAATAATAAAAAAAAATTTAAAATTTACTCGAATTATGTATTTCTAATAACCTTGGCTTCGCCTGTAACCGGTGACCCCCTGGCACTACAAACAAACCAGTGACGGTCACCTGTGACCCCCATGGCATTCCACGTGTTAAAGATAATTAGAATGATTCAAAAATGAATATTTAAAATAAAACTGTTTTTTTTTCTTATTATTCATATAATTTATTTTCATCGTCTTTCATATACGATTTCGTGGAAATTTTCATACTTAAAAAATTTTGTAAAGAATGTGTTTTTATTTACTTTTCTCAACTTGGTCCACCAATAAACTTTCTTAAATAATACTCGATAAAAAAATTATGTAAATAAAAAAATCCCTGAAGAAATGGTAGGTTTTCATTAAAGAAACTAGTGTTGTTGTTTTTTTCATTAAACCTCGTGACGAAATAAAGAAATTCATGCAATTACACTGTAAAAAATTCCAGATCAAATTGCGGTATAAGAAACTGGCACTTAGGATGCATCCATCCGTGAAATCCATTCTTCCGTAAAACTTTTACCGAAAAATATTATACCAAAATTTTTACAGTAATATTTATAGTGATTCAGTGATTTCATGGTAATTATAACTGTAAAAATTACGTATATCAGATTTTTTTGTTCCGTAACAGGTTCTAGTAAAAATGAATTTTTCGGTAAAAAAGTACCAGCACCCTGAGTGCCAACGCTTTTTATCGTAATTAGATTCGGAATTAATTACAGTGAATAAAAATTTATTATTTCTCATATTGAATTGATTATTGATTTTTTCTGATAAACCACAACAAGTTCAATCTGCCATCTTCCACAAAAATCATCAGTTATCACAATAAAAGTATTATTTTTCTTAATGAACAGATTCTATTCTTTTCTTGTTTCAGGTAAAAATAAAACACACTACTTTCAATTCGACATTTTGCCATACAAATGGTTAGTTGTTGATTTTCTTGCAGAATAATTTCCAGAAAGACAACTATTTCTTTGTAATTTTATGAACTTAAATTTATTTCTTTTTCTAGCTTAACTACAACTTTACAAATTGTGGTTGCTTGGTAAGAAATAGTTTAAAGAAGAAAAATTATTTCCCTTACTGAATTGTAGGGTAGCAGAAAAAACCTGCCTTTTCTGAAAACGGCCAGGCAGACTGGTTTTTACTTGAAAAATAGGTCTTTATTGGCTTTTTTAATATTTTAATAATCGAAATTAATATGCAAATTTTAAATTAATTTTATTAATATTTATTCAGTAAAATAGGTAAAATGTGATACATGTGATATAATATTAATTTTACTTTCTCTTAAGGGCATTTATTCCATAAATAGATAAGACGTCATTAATTTTATTGACGTAATTGTTATTCCATTCTTGCTTCCAAACCATACATTTTTGACTTAAATTGTTTTAAACCAATTTCAATCATGCTCTGATTAATCCTAACTGTGCTCTAAACAAATTCAGAATAATTTTTTTTTCAAAATTGAATTCTATAAATTAGGCATTTTCTATAAAATTACACAATTTAATTGAAATAATTATTATATTTCGTACTATATTTACTTGTATTATATATACTTATTTATATACTCATGCTGTATCGAATAAGTTGTTTTCTAATTGTTGTTTTAAGTAGGTTTAAATTAATGTTCTTAATGCTGCTAAAGTTACAGTTGTTGCTTCGAAAGTGCAAAGTTGATGCTCCAAAATTTTCCTAACGTACAATCACATCAAAATAGCAATTAAATAACAATTTTATACCCTTTTATAATTTTACAGATTTTGAAAACATTAGTTCTAATAAAAGCCGTCTTTTCTAATTTTAGTCGGTCTTTCTCAGGTTGATTAAACCCTCCCCCTCCAAAGAAAAAAACTTTTTTTTTTAGCCCGGCTTAAATCCAGCAACGCTGCTGAACTAGCTCTATTCAATTTCTTAGATAAAGCTAAAACACAAATGGTAAGTCACTACACACTCCAACATTTAACTCCATCGGTTTATGGTTAAGGCTTTTGTAACGTTTTGTGATAATTACAACAGCAATTGGTAAGCCACATAAAATAACCCAGATTCACTGAATGAACTCTGCACCTGGTTCTCACCGATCACAGCACAAACGTAAAATATCCTCAATGGTAAATGGATCATGGGTTATAATCACCTCTACGTCGGGCTAATCGTGAAAGTTTTCCCTTCAAGTAGCGCAATTGCGGGGTTAGTTCCATTAATAGGTCTAGTTTCATCCTATACTTGATCCAGGAATAACTTTTTTTCTAGGTTGGATTCATAATTACAAGATACCGGAGTTTAACCTTCATCGTCGCAAGCTCAAAATTGGGTCGGCTGCACAACGCTGGTTATAAAATAAAACAAATTTGGTACTTTATCATTTTGTCTAGCAAATCCTTAGTTAGGGAGCTTGTAGTGTTTGGGTAAAATAAATAAATAAAAAACTGAACAGCATTTACACATTAAGAAGCATCGTATGGAATTTTGCTACAAGCAACTTCATTTTAACATTCAAATTAGTTTCTTTTTATACATTGGATTAATTTTATCACATAAGCTAATCACGTTTTAGATTAATCATATACGTCTTTGCTAGATAATACAATATGAAAGGAAAAGGAGCTGATATGATACAAGAAATGTTTTCTTGCTTCAAAAAATTAGAATAACATCCAAAAAGGAATTCGAAACTAATTAAATATTTCCAAAGAAAAATAATTAGAAAAATTCTGATCTGATTAAAACGAAAACTACGTTTATTAGAAGGGAAAAAATGGAGATTTGTGTGTAACAGAAATCAAAATGAAGATTGCGTATCGTAGAAGTCATAATTAAATAAGATTTATTTTTATCAAATTAATAATCAGATAAATGTATTAATTAAAAAAAAATCTCACATGTTAAATCGATGAAAATGATGATATTAACTGATAAGATCTACCCCATAGGTATAATTATTTCAGAATCTTCTTATCAATCTCAAATCAGCAGAAAAGTAATTGGATATTTTCGCGTTTTAAAATTTCAAAAAGATTAAATAATTATATCCTCGCCTTTAAGAAGATGTTTAAAATACATAACAGATAATAATCAGCAAAAGTTTTATCAATTTAGTTTTATAATTAACTGCCTTAGAAATGTTGCTTTACATATGAAATGTTAGGAAGTCAATTACGTTTTTAGACTTTTAATGGCATTAAAAACAATATGTTTTTATTAAAATAAGTACTCAACAGTGATAAATTCATTAACTTATAATTGAGTTCAGAGCGCAAGAGTAAAAACATGACTCTGTACCATCTTTGACAGTTCCATGTGTTATTACAATTATGAATTACCATATAAATTAAGCCTATAAAAGTATCTACTTTAATCCGATATAGTATATGTTATGATATATATGCCATACTCTAACCTATACGAATTGTACAAACTTATATTTTACATAGGTTAGCCAAACACCATAGTCAAGACAATATGTAACTTAATTTTAATTTCTGGTTTCTAACAGCCATAACAGTATATGGGAAACTTAATGTTCAACTTCGCGACTCTCTCAATTTCTGTTAGCCCGGCAGATGCTGGACACAAACCTGTGATCCTACAACCGCTATGGTCAATGCAATTCAAGAGCAGTTTAAGAAAATAACTCTATCTGGATTGCTTGAGCTGGAGACTGTTTTATTCATTCAGTCTGTTTTATTCATTCAGCCATTCAGTCTGTGCATAATTATAATGATGGAAATATCTTGTAGATGGTAAACAGTAAAGATTTCAGAGAAAAAGCTATTTTTTAATTATAGTTTAATGAATGGTCAATTCTAAATTTGGTTTAATAAAAAATTGAACTTTTTCTTCTTAGTTTTCAGAACGAAATCATTGTATTTCAGATGCCATTCTATTTAATAGTATGTTATTAACTTCAAATGGAGATCCTCTTTGGCATCATTCCATCAAATCTCGCCAACTTAACATTACCTCCGATATCTTTTGGGCTATCATCTACTGTTATCGACATTTCCTCTGGATATATATTATTCAGGCAGCAATACATCGTTACCATCAATAGTTTTATATCATAAATTTGTTCTTTAAGAGGAATGTCAATTACCTTCGTTACTTTCTCATCTTCCAATGTACAATTGACTTCATCATCTTTAATGAATGGCTACTCCAAACATGACAGCGGATCACGTACATTAGATTTTGGAATGTACCCAAAACTACCACCCCCATTCTATTTCCACCCCCTCATTTCCTAAACCGCCGGAACACTCTCTGTTATTCCATTCGGGGCAAATTGCATGTTGGTTTAAAACTGAAATGCCCGGGTAAATGTCGTAGGCGTGACCGCTTGCCAGCAGCCTTGATTGCTTGATCTCACAAAACCCAGAACCTTTTGCGAGAAGAAAGGCCCGAACAAAATGGAATACTAGTAATTTTCCAAGTTTTTTCTGAAGGGCCTCACGAACACGACTGTCCCAGGCCTGCGTATCTTACTGTTCTGGAAGTAGAATGATTTTATTTTTTTT